TTCATGAGTATCATTTTTTATAGATGTATTCCAACATAGGGAAGTCATAGAATACAAAGTATTTAACCTATCACTTATTAGTATCTATTTAGATTTTTTCTAATATTCACTATTATCAATAACACTTTGATGAATGTTTTGTATGTAAATCTTTGTTTACATCTACTTACTCATTTCCCTTGGATATATATATATATATATATATATATATATATATATCCTCACTTGAGGACATTTTTAAATTTTTTTGTTCAGAGAGAGTGGGAGGGAGAGAGAGGAAGAGAGAGAGAAACATTGACGTGAAAGGGACACATCGAGTGGCTGCCACCCGCACGACCAACCAGGGCCGGGGACAAACTGGAACCAAGGTATGGGCCCTTAATGGGAACTGAACCCGGGTCTCTCTGGACCACAGGCTGACGCTCTAACCGCTAAGCCAAACTGGCCAGGGCTCCCTTGGTTATATTCTTAAAAATGGAAATGAGTCAAAGGGTACAAACATTTTTCAGGCTTCCTGGGAAGGTTTTATCACTTCACATTCCTATCAATAGTATGAGGAACTCCCTTGCAGCAACAAGTATTACCAGTTGTTTTAAATATTTGCCAAATCAATAGGTTAAACAATTATAACTCATAGTCTCAATCTGCAGATCTTTGCTTACTTAAGTTAATGAACAGTACAGGTATTTCATGCTTCTTAGCCACTTGTATTTCTCAGTGAGTTGTCTATTAAGGTCCTTTTCTGGGCAGATTCTGTTAATAGTGGCCCCAATAGTTGTCTGTAGATGATGCCAAACCTTGCATTTAGCCACATCTATTATGAGGCTGGGCTCTGGCAGGATTAGATATTGTCCATGTCAGTACTGCTATTTCAATTAAACCAGAAAGGGGAAAGTTTTCATGTTTTACTGGAATCTAGGAAATGAAGTTATTTTGCCGAGCCACATTTATTACATTATTATATTTTCTTACTCCCAAAGCTTCTCTTTTCTTTAATCCTTTAGCAGGAGGGCTAAATTTGGTGTGTATGTATACTTTATTTCAGTGTATGTTCATCAACCTCCTACTATGTGCTGCACAGTGGCCACATTAAAGGACTGTGGGGTCGAGAGAAGAGCCTGGGCTTTGACGTTGAGCAGATCTTGGGCAAGTTTCTTAACCTCTCAGAGGCTCAGTTTCTTCTTCTTTCAAGTATGGGTGATAGCCAGCCCTCCCTTTGGGGAATATATGTATTATGACTGCAAAACTCCTGGTATAGTGTCTGCCCCATAAGATTCCATTTAGCTCAATAAACAATTCTTGAGCCACTCTATGATTTTGACACTGTGCTAGGTATCGCCTACAGGAGAAAGGTCAGGCTGTTCATGGGCTCCAACAAGGCCCTCCCTGAGCCCTGCTGTTCTGTGTCCCCTCATGAAGTCCTGGGCCCCAGATGTCCTGGGTGGGTGACAGCTCTCTTTAGAGCCCTAGGCCTTAGCTGCAATTCTGAAGCAATAGGAAAAGTGCCAGTGAACATTTTTGTTGTTGTTGTTAATTCCCACCCGAGGATATTTTTCCACTGATTTTTAGAGAAAGTAGAAGGGAGGGCAGGAGGGAGAGACAGAAAAGAGAGAGAGAGAGAGAAACATCAATATAAGAGAGACACATTGTTTGGTTGCCTCCTGCACGACCTTGACCAGGGCCAAGGATCAAACCTGCAACCCAGGTACGTGCCCTTGACTGAAAATCAAACCTGCGACCCTTTGGTCCTCGGGCAGATGCTCTAGCCATTGAGCCAAACCATCCAGGGCCCAGTCAAATTTTGTTACACAGAGAATCACGACTATAGTTTTTATTTTCTTTTTTCTTCTTAACATCATATCATAAGCATTTTTCCTTTATAGCACAGTTAAGGGAACCACTGGAGCCAGCCATCCTTACTAAGTGAGCTTGGGCAGGTGGCTTAACTTCTCTGTGCCCTAGTTTCCTTATCTGAAATAAAAATAATAACAGTACCTATTTCCTGGGATTCTTCTTAGAATGAAACAAAATATTTCATGTGTGGTTCTTAGAATAATGTCTAGCACATAGTAAGAGATCAATGATCTAGAATTATTAGTTGTTATACTGTCTTCTTAGCCACCCTTACAATGACTTGACATTATTAAATTGAATAGATATAATACCATTCTCTGGTGTTGGATAATTAAGGTATTTCTGATTTTAAAACACAAAAGGAAGTAGTATCCCTAAGAAATATTTTAAAAGTCATTTTGCAGTTTAGAGACAAAGGCAGAGCAACCAATTTAAGAATTAAATGTTAAATGAATAACATTAATACACTTAAGTTGCCTTTCAAAAATATTCTACATTTCTACACGTTACAGGGTAATTAACCTATCTTAGAAGCATGGATGATCCCTGTCTGGGGCACAGAGCCGACCTGGATCACTTCAGCAAGGTCTTCTAGTCTTTCTCCAGGCAAAGAAGCTGCATCAGCTCTTCTCTCCTTCTGTAAGAGAATCTCTGATATAGCACAGCTGAAGGTCAACCCAGTATTTTCAGCTATCACTTGGGGATATCTGGTAGGGCAACTGTCAAGCCATGTCACCTGCTGGGGAAGTTATGGGATAGAGGTTTCTGCTCTGGCCCTTCAGCCAACAAAGCTTAAAGTTAGCACTGGTATAAATAAAAGATGAACTTACACAGATCTAACACCTTGTATGTGCCAGGCTCTGTAAAAATATTCTCTACCATCCTTAGCTCAACTAAGTAAAATGGTCCTATTCTATAGATGAGGAAACTGAGGCTCAGAGAGGTGCAAAGTTTCTTCCAAGGTTACACAGCTGGCAGAGTCATGACCCAGATCTGTCTGACTCTAAATATACAAGCTCTTGCCATAGTACACTGGATTTCTTTTCAGTTTAATTCAACTTAATCAGCATGATTAATATATATATATACATATATATATTACCCCTGATAGGTTGAGAACAGAGAGAACAAACTAATGAGAAAGACAGACATAAATTGCAAGTTCTCGTAATTTTAATGGTAGGCAGATGCATACCCTGTGAGAAGTGCTAAAGCCACATAGGCAGTTAAATTTTTCTGTTGTGTATAATTCTGAAAGTCATCATTAATCCTTTTAGGAAGAGGAAGGGGAGCAATAGATTGATAGATCAGGGTTGTAATCAATGAATGCACAAAGGACAGTGGGAAAATGGGATGGAGAGATTAATTCCCACGTAGAGACCCAGGAAAGTCTTAAAGAATATGATTTTTGGTTGGGATTTGAGGGTGAGGAAGAATCAGCAAGAGAACATGGGGAAGGGGCATGATCTGTTTACCCCAAGAGAAGTAAAAATCTTGATTTGTATTTGCTAAATATTGGTCTGAAAACAGAACACCCACACACACCTCTCTCATTTTGCCCTCCTCTTTACATACATAGACAGACCTATTAAGATATACCCATAGATGCTCACAAATGCAAAAAACACACAGAAAATACACATAAAACACACACCAGTACGCAATATACACAAATAGATACTAGCTCCCCTATCATAAGCTCACACAAATACGAATAATATTCATACACACGGACTCGAAAATGTTTATGCTTTCTTACACAAGCACGTACATATTCTCTCCCCACCCACTACTCATGTAGGTAAATAAATGCATTTTTTCATTAACATATACGCAGGTTCACACGCAAACCTCATCCTGCCCTTCTGGTTGGAGGCCAGTAACTAATGGGAAGCCATGCACAAAGGCAAGCATCACGGAGCGGGGGCCAGGAGTGGGTTGGCGGTGGGGCTGGGATTAAGCCCCGTCAGATGACAAACCCGCCCGGCCTGGCTCCCTCGGAAAGCTGCTGAGCCGAGGCTGCAGCGCCTGAGCAAGCTCTGGATTCCGGGCGACGGCGCGAGGCTGCGCGCCAGAATTCCGACCTCATACAGGGTTTAGTGTCACCCAGGGTCAAGCTCTGCTATCAGACCCACCCTAATCCCTGCAATGGGCAGGCGGCGCGCGGGACACAACAGGGCTGTGGCGTGGGGCTCGTTTTAGCACAGCACACTGAGCATTAGAAAGGGTTTACTGGGGGCCAGGCACTAGGCCAGTCCCTTTCAGGACTTAATTCTCACAACAGCTCAGTGTGTGCAGGGTGGGGTGAAGTGGGGGTGGGTCCGATGTGATACATCCTCATTTGCGAGGTGAGAAAACTGCTCGGGCCACAGAACCACTCAGCGGGAGGCAAGAAGCTGAGGTTTCACCCGTTCGGTCCTATTTCCCGCGGGTAGAGGGCATGTGAGTCTGTCTCCCCAACGCGTAGAGCTTCCTCCTTCCGCTCCTGCCTGGCACAGGGCTTGGCCCACAGCAGGTGTCTCGGGAGGGCGTGGGTCTTATTTCAATAAGGCCCTCAGCAGGGGCCTCAGTTTCCCCATCTCTGAAATGGGAATGGCAGCGCAGACCTCGCAGGACCGACACCAGGCTCTCTTGGGCAGCAGAAGCAATGCTGAACGCTACATCCTTGCTGCTGTCGCCCTGGCCCATCACGGGGGTTCCAGCTCAGTCCCCACCCGGGTGCGGCACGGCGCCCCATTGTTTAAGAGGGCGGGGAAGCTCCTGAGAGCCGATTCCCCGCCCCGGGTCGCGCTCGCCGCCCAGTGGAGCAGACGACTTGGCCCGGGGCCTGCCGCGCGGGGCGCGTCCTTTGTCTGCTACCCGGCGCCCGGTGCCGGAGGCCCGCGCCCCGCTCCTTGGGCAGACAAAGCCGCGCTGCCGCGAGCCGGATCCGCTGGAGCGGGGCTCGCGCCACCCTCCTCCAGCCTCAGCACCACCCCCTCCCGTCGATGCCCTCTGATTGGTCCGTGAGGCTACAAAGAGGCTGGGGAGCGGATGGGTCACGTGGGATAGCGTGGTCTCCCATTGGTCGGAAGAGGCTGCCAATCGGAGAGGGCGGGCTGTCCGCGCTCGGCCGGGTCGCTCCCTCCGCGCTGGGGCCCGCCCGCGGGGCCGGCCGCCTGTCAGAGGGAGGTGGCGATGATGAACCCGGTGGCGGTGGCGGTGGCGGCTGCGGCGGCTTCCCTGGTCCGAGTGCCGGGAGGAGAAGATGACTGACCTGCCGACTGACTGAATGAATGAATGGCGGAGCCGAGCGCGCCATGAGGAGCCTGCCGAGCCTGGGCGGCCTCGCCCTGTTGTGCTGCGCCGCCGCCGCCGCCGCCGCCGCCTCAGCAACCTTGGCGGGGAATGTCACCGGTGGCAGCGCGGCCGCGGGGCAGGTGGACGCGTCGCCGAGCCCGGGGCTGGACGGCGAGCCCACCCACCCTTTCCCTAAGGCGACAGCTCCCCCGGCCCACACCTCGAGGACCGGACCCCCGGGCGCTACCGTCCACCGACCCCGGACTGCATCCTCTTCAACCGGGTCCCCGGGGACCACCCCTCCAAGGGCGACAACCGGACCCGCTCTGACCACCTTTCAGGCGCCGCTCGGCCCCTCGTCGGCCGCCCCTCCGGCGGTGGAAAGCACTCCGACCACCCCTCGGGCGACGACCAGACCCGCGCCCACCACCCTCTCGACGACCACTGGCCCGGCGCCGACCACCCCTGTGGCGACCACCGTTCCGGCGCCCACTACTCCGCTGACCCCCACCCCTGTCCCGCCCCGGAGCAGCAGCGTCCCGCCCACCCCACCTGCCGCCGAGGCCCCTTCGCCGCCTCCCCCAGGTGAGTCCCAGCGCTCCCCCGCCGGCAGGAGCAGCTCGCGGCGGCCGATCCTGACCCCGCCTGGAGGATGGGGTTCCTGGGGGTCCTGGCTGGCGTGGATCGTTTCTCGTCACAGAGGTTCCCCAGATTTCGACTCCCCAGGGGAGGTCCAAGCTCCAGCCAGCCCGATTCCTCCCCCCCAATCTGGGGAGGCTTTTGTGCCCCCCCCGCCCCCCCCCCGGCTGTGTGGGCGGCATCGCACCTCGTTCCAAACGGGGCTTTCTGGGCGCTGTGGGAGACCCAGCATGGGTACAAACTTTTGGGTTTGGTTCGCTCACCCTGCCTCTCCGCCTGGGTTATTTGGGGGAAGTTCGAAAGCCAGCACAATACTTCTCCTTCAACCACTGGGTCAGAGGCTGAGTGTAAGGGATTCCTCCTGACGCTCCAGCGTCCTGTTCATTTCTCCTTGTTTCTATGTAAATATCCCATGTGCATGTGACAGGTGGAAGGGATGTCGAGAGCATTTGTTTACCCATGGCAGTACAGACCACTGGAGGCCAAAAGAAAAAAGAAAGAGAGAGAGAGATTGTAATCCGCGTTTCCCCTCGAAAAAAGTGGATTCAGTAGGTCATTGGGGACAGGTGTGTATCTAGGTTGAGCACATTTATTTAGGTTAAATCCCTTCCTTGCACCATTTTTTTTTCCCTCCCTCAGTGACAAGGTCATTATGTTTGGACAACTATACAATTTAAGCAGGGATGTCCCCGCCTTTTCTTTTTTATTTTTCCTCCCATAAACGACAACGTTCAATTTTCCTTGATGCCGATAAATGCCAATTTCTGTTTGAGTCCACACAGAAAATGAGGCCCTTCTTGCTGGTTGGAGTCTTCAAGCAAAGTCAGAGACAACTCCTATTCTCTCCCTTTTGTGATCTAAAACGGGCTTGGAACTAAACATGTAACACCTACCTTGTCCAAACCATTTGCCGAGATGTACTTGACATTAATGGATCTCTGACCTAATTCTTAGGCTCAGTGATTTACTGTGAAGTCAGGTATGGACTTTGGACTGTACTTGCGTTTGTAGAGTTTCCCCACATGATTATTAGTCTTAATACAACCTTGAATCTTGGGTTCAAGCTTGGCATTTATGTTAGTAAGAATGCAGATTATTCACTCATAAAAAGATAAGTTTGCATCTCTTCTAGCTTCAAGGAGTGTATTCACTAGCAGCTAGTGAATAGCTGGATTTTGACTGTAACCTTTTTTGGCCTTCATATGGGGAGATTGACATATTACCAAGAAACAGGAAGCATAGTGGTTGAGAGTATGAACTCTGGAGCCTATTCTTATGTTTGAATCCTAGCTCTGCCCTTTATTAATTGTATAATATTAGGCAGGTCACTTAACCTTTCTTTATTTGTGAAATGAAAATAATGATAGTACTTAATAGTACTTACCTTATAGGATTGCTGTGAAGAGTAAATAAGTTAATATATTTACGGTATTTAGAGCAGTTCCTGTTGCAGTTAAGTACCATAGTACCAAGTGTGTGTTAGATATCTTTATGACCAGGCTCTTTGGGGGGCGGGGGGGGGGGTAGTGGTAAAGCATTTGAGGAACCTAGTAGGGACTTGTGGTGATTTTCATTTGTTTTAGTAAAGTGTAATAGAAAAAGGATGAATTCTGTTTTCTGGAATTTGAAGCACACAGTAGCATTTAAATAGCGAGATCATTTATTTTGAATGGGTAGTATATGATAAATAAGTCTGTGCAATTGATGTTATTTTACTTTTGTTATTTTTGTGTTGTTATTTTTAAATCACAAAGTAACCACTGCTTGCAAAAAAAAAAAAAAAAATTTACAAACAACCAGAAGTCCTCAAAGGAATAAGTGAAAGTCACTCCTTTACTGCCTCCAGGTTCTAGTCAGTCCCTAGAGGTTATTACTGTTAACAGTTTGATCTCTTTTCAGACGTTTTTTGGGCATGTATGAATTTACATGGTTTTTAAAAATAGTTTTTTGAAACTCAAAATGAAATAATCCTATATATATATATATAGTTTTGCAATGTGCTATATTCACTTAACTATGTACCATGGCTTCCCTCCTACCCCCCCACTCCCCATGTTAGTACCTGTCTACCTTATTTTTTTCTTCAACAGTTGCATTTTGTTGTTGTAGGAATATATCGTAATTTAATCAGTCTGTTATTATGGACACTTAGATTGCTTCTGGGCTTCACTTTAAAAAGCACAAAAAGAATATGTTCTTATTGAGTTTATTCTTATTATGTTCTTATTATATTCTCTAATACTTTGGCTGGAGTCTTATAGACTCCAAATCAATTTTAGATGAAGTAAAGCAGGATTGATTATATTTGCCATCTGAATTGTTTGAGGCTTTTCAGGAACTAACATATGTGGTAACCGTTCAGTCACAGAGGTTTTTAGGAGGATGCCCAACTTTGGTAAGTCTGTGTTTTAAATTTTCTGTAGTTTGTACTTGTCTGTGAATTCACTATGGATTGCCAGTGTCTAGTTCTCAGTGGCTGAATTGACTGGGCATATTAATGGACACTTTTAGCTTTATAATGATGTGATCAGATGCAGCCTTTTTATCTGAGCATGGATTCTAGTTTACTTCAAATAGTAAACACATCTCTCTGACACAAGGAAAACTTCTACTTGAATTTGAGAGACCTAAGTTGGGATTCTCTGGCATTTGGGAAGATGGTTGTACATGGTGTTTTATTTTAATGTTCCTCTAAGGACTGAGTGCCTTCAATAATATATTATGTGATAGGATGGGTCTTCTAGCTGCTCTTTGAATTAATAAGAATTTCTTTCGTGAAGGTCTAGCTGAGAGTTCTTGCCTGGCCCTCAATTAGGGCCCTCTTTTATTTACAGGGACACTGATCGGAAACTGAAACTAATTGCCCAGCAAACAGGCTCTTTTCCTCCCACAGACCTGGCAAAACATTTGGCCGATTGGTTTGCTGGGTGTAGGATATTTTAAGAAGGGTGAAGGGAGAGGTAGTAATACTAGAGAATAATTGTATCAGCAGTAAGAGACTGAGGTGATGACAAATGTTTGATTTGTAAAGTTATGGGCCCCTGATGAATCTATTTGACAGACCTGGAACAGTTATTGTCTGCTGCTAAGGTTCTGGTGCAGATGCAAGAAAAAAGGGCCCGCGCGCTTTCTGTCTACCTGATTGTGGCAGCCGAGACTGAATGGAGAACTACAGGGGCGGGTAAAATATGGAGCTTTAGGGCCAGATAGAATATTACTACTACCTCCTAACATGGCTGTACATTTTAGGAAATACTTCCACAGACTTAGCTGAAATAGTTCTCCCTGTAGTTAACACAGACTGGTTCTGGTTCCCCTCTTTGGGGCCACACAAAATAAGTCTGCTCTCTCTGTGCCATGACAGTTCTTCAGGGATTTGGGGACAGTGATCATGTTCCCTCTGAGTCTGGACTAAATACCTTCAGCTCCCTCAACTGTTCTTTATGTGACATGGTTTCAAATTCCCTCAGTATCCTGGTCACCCCTCTTCTGGACGTTACCAATCTTTCTGTGTCTCTCCCAAAGTGTGGAACACAGAGCTAAACATAGTACTCCAGATGTGCTCTAACTAGCTGTAGCAGAGAGAGCAGTTACCTTGTTCTTTCTGGATGCTATACTACTGTTGATGTAGTTATTCCTAATCAGAGTAGCTTTTTTGGCAGCGATACTACGTTGTTGACTCATTGAGTCCATTAAAATAGTTAAGTCTTTTTCTTTTTAAACATGTGCTAAATGAGTCTTCCTTCATTCTGGACTTGGAAATTCTTGTTATTTTTTAAAGTATAAGCTGAGACATTTGCCAAACATGTAAGATTTATTATGCTATGTTCAAATCATCCTTTTAGATCCCGGGTCTGTCAGTCCCACCCAATTTATTCATATTCACCTACAGGGTGTTCCTATAGACAGAGTCTAAGGACAAGTTAGAGCAGGTTATTCTTACCTCATCGGGGATAATACATTTATGGATGTTAAACAGTTTGGAAGGAAAGGAATAATAGTTCAGATTATTTCTCAGGGGTTTCTTCTAGCTCTAAAGTTCTGTAATGATTTGGTATGCATGATTGAGGACACATTAATGCCCCCCAAAGAACCTTAATCATGTATTTGTTATCTAAGTTAAGAGAATAGACTTTGTTTAAGCAAACCCTAGAATTTAGAGTTCAAAAAAATCTGACCACTGTGACATGTACATAAATTATTACAAATGGATTTTATTTAAAAGGAACGTTCTGGGAATGTAGGACCCACCTAACTGTACTGGGAAATGTTTTCTTTAATCTAAAATTTTCTACTGATAGGTTCAGAGTCTTATTTGTTTATAGTTATTTAATAAAATGCCATTCATTTTAAGGAAATAGAAATTATTTAGGCTCTAAAGATAATGTAGGTCCATAATCTTATCCAAAACCTGTGGGGCTGGGTGTGCTTCACAATTTAGAATTTTTCAGGTTTTAGGAAGTTAATAAATATACCCCAGTGAAGTCTGGGGCAGCATCCTATAATCAAACACATGAAAATATTTGTAGCAAAATGCATATACTGAGTGGGATAAATAAAGACTATAAATAGCCTTGCATTTGTTCAGCTCAGGTTTTGCTGCCAAATGAGTTACATAAAAAATTTTGGTTTTTGGAGCTTTTGGTATTTAGCATCAGGTCTGAGGGGTTGTGGACCACTGTTATAATAATTACAAACATATATAGTGCTTTCTGTGTTCCAGGTAGTGTTCTAAATGCTTTACACATATGAATTTTTAAAAAATCCTCACCCAGGGATATTTTTTCATTTATCTTCAGATAGAATGGAAGAGAGGGAGGGAAGGAGGGAGAGAGAGATAGAGAGAGAAACATTGACGTGAGAGAGACACATCTATTGGTTGCCTCCTACACGACCCCAACCAGGGCCAGGGACCGAAGGGAAACTGAGGTACCTGCCCCAGACTA